ATTTGTCACTGTATATTTTCCTTGTTTATATCATTAGACTTAGATACTTAGGATTAGTTAGTGACATTTATTCCTAGCTATATCAATATTTTAAAAGCCCCTCCAATCCCTGTGGAGATGATACTCACTCACTACTATATTACTTACATCGATTGTGTATACTTGCATAGGTTTGAATGCCACAGCACTATATATTTACACGCGATCAGCTTTCGATGCATGTAAATTTTGGTTCTTACCCTTAGGTTGTTTTGTATTAAAGGTGGGCTAGGGCGTTGCTATGTGATGCACGTAAATTCCTCCGACCACACCACTAGACCTTTCCCATGTCTGTTTGTGTCAATCATGCAAGTGTAGTCCCATCAATTCAGTATGTGAGATATGTTAAAGAATGACTTGAAGGTTATGTGAGATTGATCCAAAGCTTTAGTTTGTACGAGAATTGTATCGATTCTATATAACACCGAGTTCCCCTCAATGATCTACCTGGTGGGTATGTGAGGACCATTAGATCATTAAGTATGTTTTATGGGAATTACGCCGATGCTATGTGACACCGGGGATCCCTCAGTAACTAGTATCTGAGAGCTATGTGAGACCAGATACTAGTCAGGTTGCATTCAGATAATGTACAGTATGTCAGGTTCGCATTTAGATAATGTGTAACATGTTTAGTTGTTAGGGTTAGAGACCCTTTAGAGGTGTATTCATGGCGAGGCCCTTAGCATAGGATTAAGGGAAACGTGAGAACCCTTCTTCAGTGATAGAGTAGTAAAGACTTAAGTAGGTTGCACTTGATCTAGGTCATGCATGTATCTACTTCTTAGTACCACGTCTCAGCATGTCTATGTTTATGAAATTCTTATGATGCTCTAGATTAGTGATTATACTATTGGTCTTTGTAAACTCAGCCTTCAGATGTTTTTCGTTGGCATGTCAGTAGCTCTGACAGTTCGTGGAGCACCGTTGTAACAAGACTTCCAGCATCTCTGACAGAGTATTATAGTGTAGATTTAGTGGGCATGTGTATTCATAGAACCTTACTTATGTATTTGAGTTGTAAACTTGAATGTGTATTATTTTGTTTAAAATTATGTGTCACGGAGTTCGATTTTGTAAAATGTTTTTATATCAGTTACTTATGTTTTGTTACGATATCATTCAGTATGTTGAAAAGAAAATGAACAGGTTTTGAAAATCAAGGATTACCTCAGGAGCACAGTGTGTCATTTTAGGCCCAATCAAGTTTAGGGTGTTACATACCCAACCTCTTCCAAACACCGTAAAATGTTTTCTAAAAAATGTTTTCCAGAAAATGTAATTTATTTTACGAAAAATATTTTTCCAGAAAATATTTTTATTGAAACAAATGGACCCTAAGTTGTACCATCAACACTACTATACAAATAAATATAGCAATGGCTACATGTTGAAAATTAGCTTTATCATAACTCAAGCACGACCTATGTGGATGATTATGAGCATCTATCGATTGAACCAACTCAAGAGTCCAAATTAGGGGTGTAACACCCTCAACCTGATATGGTCGTGAACCAAATCGATGATGTTACATTGACTGATCATAATATAATTGATAATTTTATGAGCCCTAATTAAATTCTCATAGAGTCAATTAGTCAATAGTATGGTTTAATAACTATTATATGAAAATTATAATGTTTGAGGTTGGTAATATAAATTACATGTAATTACAACAACTTAAGAGGTCATAAGATAAACTTTGCATAATTGAGGGACTACTTGAATAATTTAACTATTTTAAACAATTGCCATCGATACTAATTTTTTATTAATCGAGATAAGTACTAGGAAGTATCTATTCATAGATAATATTTCACCATTTGGCATTGAGCGCTCACACCCCTAGCATTTTTTGTGCTCGAACCCGAGGCCTCAATGAATAACAATTCTTTTACCATCTATACTAATCTTTGGATATCTATATTGTATGGATAAAATACTTACACTCTTAGATAATATTGATGTCTATTTGAGGTTCATAAACCTTGAACCTTATTTAGAATACCAATTTCAAAATTTGGATATCAATATTGATGTGACAGTGCCAATGTTAATTTTCATTATCAATACCAAAATGATATATTATAATATGATTTTAGTTATCAATATTCTTGCGATTAGTATCGATACCCATTATTTGGTCAAATTCAACCATAAAACATGCTAAATACCAATCAAACTTTACTTAATCCATGTGCAACATATGCCATAATCAATAGCACTTAAAATATACACAAATCATCAATTTTATCATAGATTCAATAATGTACATAAGAAATCTAAATCGTACATATCACATAAATATTAATTAATATTTCATCATGAACAACACATGATCTCATGTTAAACTCACCTTGCTAACTATGGATTAATGTTTGGTCACATTCTTACTGCTTTGACAACATAATATGCATAAGTTTAAAAGATATCAAAAACACAATGGCATACTTATCATGGTTTAAGCAAGACAAAAAAAATCAATTCAAACATGGCTCAAAATATCTAATTTAATATTCTAAGTTCAATGTGGTCAAACGAAATCATGGAAAAACTCACAGTTTGCATCTTTATCTATCCCTTTGGAAAACCATGTACATTAATAAGGTTGAGCTTTTTCTCTTAAAGAATCCATAGCTCATGCTTTAAGTGATCCTGATGTGAAGGACTTGATGAATCCATCGATGTGAAGGGATGAGTTATTGTGCTCTTAATAAGTTCATAAGGCTTTGAGTGGTCCTTTTTGAGATAGACTTGATAAATTTATTGATTTGATAGGATGAACCGCTAAATGTTCTTAATGAGTTCATATCCCAAGTTTTGAGGAGTCGCTGTGAGATGGGCTTAATGAATTCACTTAATCTTAAAAAATTACGAGGTTGAACTTACTAAATGTTTTTAATGATTCATAGTCCTCATTCGAGTGGTCTATATTGAGGTAGACTTGGTCAAATCACCTACATATATACGAAGAACTAACCACCTTTCATGAAAGACGTTGGATTATATTTTTGGAGAACCTACCAACATCCTAAAGTGTACTCACTAAATTGATTGATCTATTGTGGAACTCAATTTTTTGGTTATGATTTCTGTCAGATCTATTGTACTTTTGCCTAGTTAGGGGTACTATTTTCCTCCATCTAGGACTAGGGAGGTTTTTAATGAGGCTCCTGGCTTAGGTTTGCTTAATAAAATTCTTTTGCTGAGCAAAAAAATTGAATCTAAGATTAGTCGTTTGTCATAAGTTTACTCATTTTTTAACAAGTTCAAGATTTTGTTCACTTGTTGAGAGAATAATTACTTATTTCAATACGTATTAATTCTAATATAATATATACTAATACTTAAATGACTAATTATGTTGTTGCTCTTTTTCTACATTCAAAATTCTTTACTTATTTACATTAGTGTGAGATTATTAGATAATGCAAATAATGAAGCGAAAGTATTATTTTAAAATAAGATTTTGTATCTATTTTAAGAAGATATTGAGGACAATTAAAATTTTATGATGACTGCCTCCATCTTATTTTTACTAATTTACCCATGATTTTCCTTATAAATATCAAGCCATAATTCATTATTTGATACACTTGCAGTGACATGTTTCTTTATGTTGTTCTCTCTGTCTAACTACCATTGGTATTTTTTCCATCTTATTAGAAAACAGCAATGACATCCGAGTTCCACTTATTTATTAGAACAATAACAATGTAGCAGATCTTTTCTTTCATTGATTGAATAACATTTTTACTTTAGTAAAGCAACATCCTTCTATAAACGTCTTACTCACGGCACAAAGGACATGTGGCATTACGTTTAAGCCACTCATCTATGCAATTAGCATGAAAATAATGCATGCAAAATGGTTTAGTTTTTAAAGTGTCATTGGCTTTGTATTCAGACAGGCAGATAGAGCATATAACGTCGTTAGGGTTTGGCAGTTCCAGGTTTTTGCCGACCAACGTCGTCGGATACATTTCGATCGCCCGCTGCTCCAAACCTCTTTCCGACTGTAGGACCGATGAGGCATAGGAGATTTCAGTGTTGGTGCCGCGCCGTTTATGAATGTATTGCTTCAGGATTGAGATGCATGGTACAAGCGCCGCCAAGACCATGAGACAAAGCACCGTATACAGTGGGAAATATTTGGCAACGTCTGAAGCACCTGATTTTAATGCAAATTAAAGTGGAATCCTTAGAATGTGACCAATAATTTAATGAAATATTTTAAGTTTAGTATTAGGAAAAAAGAAGTAAAACTAAAAAAAATCCCTTTATAACTCAAATAATTAAAACATGCTACATCACATCAGACAACATAAACTATAGATTAGTTTGTTGAATAAAATAGGATGAAGTAAATAAATGATACCATTGTATGGCGTTGTTTTGTTGAATCAAATACTATTAACAGTTACAAAATAGTCATCTAATTATATGGCGTTATTTTGTTAGGTCCTTCGATTACTAAAAGTTACAAAATGGTCACTAAACTATTTATATGTTTTAAAATCGTTATTTTCTGTTAAAAATAATGTTGTCTGAGTTTGATATTAACCTGTTGACTATGACATAATAAAATCTGATCTCATAACCCTTTAAGTTGTATTTTGTGGATCGATTCTCTGTTTATATTATGTCATCAAGTCAGTGGTTGAAATATTATGTCGTTGAGTTAGGGGTTGAAATCAACGGTGATGTCAGTAAACATCATTAATATATGATTTTATCATATCTCAGTCAGGAAGTTACCGTTCAGCTCAAACGACTGTCAAATTTTTAATGGAAAAGGACGAGATTAAAACATATGAATAGTCGAATGATCATTTTATAACTTTTAATAGTCGAAGACTCAACAAAATAACATGTAATCAAAGTATCCTATGTATACTTTACCAAATAGAATAAATCTTGCTCTAGAAACTTGAACTAATTAACTTTTATTGGACAAAATTCTAGTTGTTCTTCTCCGAAGTAGAAATTGTTAAAAACAAATTCTCTCCATACCCTGAATAATAAAAAAAACTTAAAACTATATTTTAAAAAGAATGTACAAGTTTTTGAAGGCTAATTGGCAAAATCAAAGCATACCTGGATCCAGAAAACTAGAGCATCCAACGTCGAAGCCTGTATTTTTCTTGTACCGGCAAACGCCTTCCCTTTCTAAACACCATTTACAATCCGGTTCATTCCACCTTAACCATATCCTATCGGAAAGATATTCCCACTTTTCTAGCAACGGCAACGAAACAGTCGCTATTTCCCGGCACGATGAAAACGGTTCGAACAGGTCGGGTCGGTCCACGGGTATCGCCACAGTACAGTTACCATCACTGCTAAGACAAGGAATATATGTCACATATATGTCCATATAGGGCACATTATAGGAGCAATTGAGCAGCGTGAAGTTTTGCAGGTAATCTTGGTGGAACGGAGTAGCAGCGGTATCAAAACCTTCCAGCAGGCGTTTTGGAAGGCAACCATCCGGATCGCCAATCGCGATGAATTGTACGTAATAGTTTATCGTTTCGACACTGAAATTACCCGACGACGGAAACGAGATGATGGTGTCGTTCTGATTATTGCATGAGAGGTCGAAGCCTGGATATCCACAGCGGTTTTCGTTTCTGAGCTGAAATGGGAAGCTAATCTCCTGATAGCCGCATCGTGGTTGACAGATATCACTCATAGTCGATGATATAAGAGTGAAAAAGATGACGAAACAAAGCTTGGAATCCATTTTATATATTCTAGTTGTTTAGTTTCTCTTTATTGGAGCAAGGGATGGAGGTTTTCTCACCATCCCAACATCTAATTTATACTCTTACCTCACGCCAAATATTGGTTCTTTTTAATGCTTAATGCTTAAAATTTATCCCTAAGATTTGATAAAATACTTGTATTATATTTTTTAAAGCATTTTAACCTTGACTATGTGTATATAAGAAATGGGAATCCTTAGGTGACTAATGATCCCATTTCTTGTTGACATGACAATTTTTTTAATTTAAAGTGATGACATGATGTGTATCGTATCATTACTTATGTATACGTAGAATATGCCTATTCATTAAATATGCACACGTTGTATGTGTCATGTCATTACTTAAATATACGTTGTATGTGCCACGTCATTACTTATGTACACGTATGTGTCACGTCATTACTTATGTACACGTTGTATGTGTCACGTATTATTTTATATATAAAATTTACCACATCAATCACAAACATTGACCATTAGTCTACTGAAGTTTTTCTAGATATCATTTTACTTAGAAATGAATCATTAAGAGACTAAAGTGTGTAAAATAAAAGTAGTTTTTTGACATTATTCCAATGATAAATTACAAAAAGAAAATCGAGATTATTATTTTATTCCAATTTAAGTGATTATCTTTAACCATATATAAATTCAAATATATTTATTCATATTTTTTCATACGTGATATACATATACCATACAATGTCCAAGGACTCGACTCAAACTTGAAAATAAATTCACTAATTACTAAAAATTTCGAGTTTTTCGAGTTGCATTTTACAACTCGATTTGAATTTGAATTTTTTTAGTCGACTCGAGTTTATGAAATTGCAACTCGAAATCAATTCGAGTCGAGTTTTTTCAAGTCAAAAAATTTAATTTTTCGAGTCGAATTGAGTTTTGCTCACGCTACCTAGAACCGTATTAATTCATGGCCGAACTGTTTGTTGTTGAAGCAGAATACCAAAAGTAGGAGCTTAATAAGATAAATCCAATGAGAAATGAACAAGACAAATGGGAGGGAGTTGACCTTAGAAATCATGTAGAAATTACCAATTCGACGGCTAATGTAATAAATTTATTTGTTCTCTGATTGTTTTCGAAATTAAAAACATAAATTTAAACAAAGAAACAATTGAATTAAATTGATGTTTTAATAATATATGATAATTATAATATCATATAATATAAGTTCATAATCTTTTATTCATTAATAACACATTCTATAAAAACAATTATTTGAATTCAAAATTTTAAAAAATAACACTTCTTTTTATTTTTGGTACACATATTCTATTTTTCTTTTAAAAAACATATTAATATAAGTCAATGGATTGTTGAATTTTGATTATTTATCGTTTGTGCATCACAGTAATAAAAAAATATGTCTCTTTCTTATAATTAAAGTCAAAATATTTGTTTTATAGTTGGGTCGTTATTTACAAGATCAACCTCATCAGCTGTGACTTTGTTTGAAAACTTAATCTTCTTGTTATCATAGAAAACAAACGGCATGATACAATACAAAATAATGCCGGGTCCATAAATATTTTTAGGGTACATACCTATAAATTTGCAATACAAAACTTTGAACGAGAAGAGTATAAATAAAATCTTATATAGACATCATCGGTAAAATAAGAAACTAATCAAAAAAAATTTAGATTTCAGGGTGATAACGTGTCTCACCTTTTTTTTTGAATTAATCACTGGTATCCGATCTATTGACCGACTAATCCAGATCGGGTATTGCAGAGGCGAGGGCGACCCTCCCAACCCAGTTTACTCCATTCGCAAACGTCAGGATTCGAACCCTGATCTTGTTTAAGGGACCTAGTATCTCATCTCACTAGACCAATATGCCCCACCTTTAATTATATGGGACTCCGCCACTGTACATACATACTATATTTTGAGGTAAACGACTTGGAAACAGATTGTCTGCAATGTTGATGTCGATGATTTTGAAAGAGAAAATTAACATACAACACAAATCAAAAACAATAAAAATTTATTACGTGTACATTTGGTTTGTTTATTAAGTGTTCATTTTTATTTGTTTATCTTCTTTTAGATTATTAGTTCCAGTCTTCCAGATTCATTAGAAGCACTCCTCTTTTCTCCTCTGGAGTCTCTCATTCTTCTTCCCTCTAAGTAGGATTTAGAATTTATTAAAAAAGAAATCATTCAAATGTTCACCAAATGATGTACTTAATAGTTCTATTTATACTCTAATTGAATGACAATATTTCATTTCTTAAAAAATCCCTTTATTTCTATTTTATTAATTTTTTACTAATAAGATGATGATACATGTCATAATCTTATCGAGAATTAATTACCTCCGTTAGTTTTTTGCCTACGTGGCAGTTAACCTTCCGTTAATCCCATGTTCTTCTTCTTCTTCTTCTTTCTTGCTGCTTCTCTCTAATCTAAACCCAATCAACAAACCCTATTTCTAAATTCTTCAACTTTGCTTTTAGTTTATCCATGCAAAATTCAAACTGGCACAGAAACATATCCGCTTCATCGATGAACAGCAACAAGCCTCTCTTGGACTTCTTGCCCAATCAAATAATTGGTGTAACTTGGTAACCGCCTGTGTTCCAAGTGGAGCAACATCTCCACCCATCACCAATGCATAATCTAGCCCCTGAAGATTAATACAAAAATATTAGAGAATGAGATGAAATAAATAAAAAAGAAACAGATTTCAAACGTTTGTCATGAATTATTGTAGCAGCATTTGTGAGAATGCTGCCATGGAGGAGATGACAGAATGAAGCTTTTATTAATGGTCATAAAATACTCTGTATTACATCAGCTTATATAATAGTTGTGCTTTCAAGTTTACTCTACCTCTATAACAGATTCAAAACAGACACTAACATTCATAACAAACTTTAACAGCTCACTCACACACACAATGCTCATATTAGGAGCATATGCACACATTGTGTATTCTAGAATACAATCGTGTATTCTAGATACTCTAATATTCTCCCTACTCTTTTCCTTCTCCTTGAGCAAATGAGAAAACCTGCACTTTGGGTTAAAATTGCGCAAATGAAGATTTGGACAATGATTTAGTAAACCATTCGTTCTAGTTGAATTGGAAGTGCGATGCTTCTTTCCGTTCGACTTGAATCGGAAGTGCGATGCTTCTTTGCGTTCGATTTGAATCGGAAGTGCTGATGCTTCCTTCCGTTCGATTTGAATTGGAAGTGCTGATGCTTCCTTCCGTTCGATTTGAATCGGAAGTGCCGAAGCTTCCTTCCGTTCGACTTGAATCGGAAGTGCCGATGCCTTCTTCCGTTCGACTTGAATTAGAAGTGCCGATACCTTCTTCCGTTCGACATGAATCGAAAGTGCCGATCATTCCGTACACTTCTATTCTGTCCAATCATTCGTCGAGAAACCATGCCAGAACCCCCTGCTTCAGCCTCGCAAGAACATCATTTATCAACTGCTCCGCCTTAGCTATTTGTTCAGCAGTACCCACGAGCTCTACAGGCCTAGTCATGGAATTTGGGTCTGCATCAGTATCTCTTTGGATCTGAATCTTTGCCCCATATTGTAGTTGAAGATATTCGATGGTTTCTCCAGCTTTCCCAATTATAACACCAACCTATTTTGAGAAATATCAATCTTATTGCTACTACCATGGTAGCTTCCATAAGAAACCGGTATGGCTGAAGGAGTAGAGTTTGATGAAGGTTTTATATTAGAAGGAGCGGAGCTAAATCCCTTCTCGTAATCAAAGCCACCGCCAGATCCGTTTTCGACACGAGGGCGCTTTAGCTCAGCGCCAGCAGAGGCAAGGATGTAGTAAGGCGAGCGGCAACCTCCTGAGCTCTCTGCTTGGCCATCTCGATGCCGTCGAGCGGTGGCGGAACGCTGTTGTAGGAAGAAGGAGCTGAATTCATGAAGGAGAAACCTGTAGGCCTCCTACCAGCGGAATACGACGGTGCTACACGTAACTTTCCCAACAATATCGTCACTAGTAATAGCTGTAACAACAACAACAGAAGCAGTTATTTCTGCTTCAGCTTCACTATCTTCCAAACGAAGACAAGATTCATTTGAGTTCTTTTTCTCAAAGAAAAAACTACAATCATTCTCGGCTTCATAAACATGGTGAGACATTTGAATTTCTGATCGAGATGGACTTGGAGGGCCAATACCGTGTGAAGCGACATGAACACCAGAAGGGAAAACTGTCGGAGATGTAACTGCTCCAAATTGTATTTTCTCCAAGTTGCAATCTCAACAAAAACAGTGGAAAACAAATATGTTTTCTGCAGAATCTAATCAGTTGTCATGATTTCATCAAGTGAGTTTTGTGAGATCTGAGAAAACAAGGCATACTGAGAAGAAATCCCCTGTGAGAACGATTGTTGTGATGGTTGTGATCTAAGTTATGATGATTGCGGTACACTCAGCGGCAGGCTTGATCTCCTTGTATGAGGAGGAAAAACAGAGATGGAGCCAAGATCACAGGCTTTGCTGATCTTCAACTTCATTTATTCCAGAATCGATTAAATCAAGTTAAAAATTAGAGTTCTCAATAGCAACAGGTTTTTAGAATACGCGAATCAACCTCTCTTTTCAAGTGAGAAAGGGAGAACGATCGGAGAAAAATAAGAGGACGAGGTGAGAGTTTTGGAGAAGAAAGAAAGTGAGAGTAAAGGAACTCAATCGTCGGCGCAACTGTGGAAGAGAAAACGATGTCAGGATCTTTGGCGAATGATACCATGTGAGAATGCTGCCATGGAGGAGATGACAAATGAAGCTTTTATTAATGGTCATAAAATACTCTGCATTACATCAGCTTATATAATAGTTGTGCTTTAAGTTTACTCTACCTCTATAACAGATTCAAAACAGACACTAACATTCATAACAAACTTTAACAGCTCACACAC